CTCCTGGTAAGGGACTGTGAGGTGGTGAGAGACAGGACAAAGGGTTAGGGTTGACGGTGAAACTCTTCCTAAGCATTTCTAAACCCGTTTCATCACTAAACGTGCCTCTGCTTCACACACAGGGAATGATTTATAAATCCTAGAATAAGTGCAGAAGAACTGTAAAAGAAGTTATTCATGTTAAAATGGAGAAGCCAAGCTTGAATAGAGGGGGATCTATTGTCTGCCACACACAGTGCTGCTTTAACACCTCTCTCTAGATGGCATAATAGCACCTGCTAGCTCCAATCATGCAAATGCAATCAACACCTGACCTGCATGAGGTCTCTGAGCCCATCCATGCTGGTTATGATAAACAGATGATGTGGATTGGAGCAACGTTCACCATATTTATTCCCAGATAATTTTTGTGCAGGTCATTCTGAATTGAGAAGCCAGCAAAACGTCTTCAGGACAAATACAGCAAGTCCAGTTGCATTAGGCCAACATATGTCTCGGTAGATGATTTATAAATTATTCCCTTAGCGTATGTAAACCCAAAAACAAGAATGTAATATATTGAAGCTTACCAATCCTTAGATGTGGTGGCTGCATTAGCTGCATTTCTTTTTTTTCATTCTTTTCGTTTTATTTTAACCTGGTGATCCTGCCAACAAAACACTTCCTGTCCTAAGGGGACAACAATTACTCAATGTACTGTATCTATACAGGAGCAGTGTTGTCACCGTATGACAGGACTGCAGAATACCTCCCTGTCTCCTCATCTCCAATACATAGGGAGAGGATGTAAGGCCGTAGCCGGACTTTCGCGCGCTACTGCGCATGCGCGAGTTACAGCCTTCCAGGTTGCCAGAAAACGTGCGCACGTGCTCACAGCGGAAAGTGGCGCACAGGAAGTGGCACGTTGCTCTCTAATGGATGGTCCTGTTTAAACCAGCTGGCCCAAATGGGTCACTGCTGAATGGTCTTTCAGCTTGTGCCTTGTATTCCTGCTATTTGTTTGCCTTTTGCCTTGACCCGGATTGCTGCTGACCTTGATTGACCTCTGCATGTTATCTGGATTCTGCCTCTGCCTGCTCCTTCTGTACTGATCGTCTGGCGTGACCCCTGGCTTGTTTGACATTGCTCCAGTTTCCACTGCAATCTTCGCTGACATCTCAGCTGCCAACCAGCCCTGCTCATACTTCCAGGGACCCAGTGCCGGACTTCTACCAGGCACCGTGTCTGAGCACCTTGGCACCCGTGCTCCTCTGTCTACTCGCTCCCTGTTCCCACACACAGGGGTGTGAGACAAAAGCCGCAAGGGAGGCCTCCTCAGCCAATCGGTCCTCCACCAGTTACGTGATAGAGGGATTCTGTAGACAGCAGAGAAAGCCGAGGACAATGTTAAAAGTGCAGACGCGGAAGAGAGGACAGAAAGTTATCTGCTCACATGTTTCCTGGCAGGATCAACAAGTATTTATTTGCACTTAACAAACAGATATAACAAAACAATCCACACTGAAGATTTAACAGACCAAAAGGGAACAAATAAGAGATAGTCATGAGGTCCATACACACCATCTAAATACTGACGGAGCAGACACAACATGCGCATGCAATCCTTTAGTGAGCAAGAGCCAAATTGTCATGTGAACACAAACATAAGGCATGCCAAGTAATATCAACCTTTAGTGAATGAGCCGATAATATTTTGTTTTCAACCAAACTGGGGAACCCTGAAGGCTTGCATTGGATGCTAGGAGCAGTAAAGTTCAATCACTGAACTACATGAATGAGCAGGAAGCAGTTCTCATAAATAAAGGTCCAATATGGCTGCTGCCACCATACACAGACACTATGAAACACTATACAGAAGGACAACCTTTATTAACCATTAACATTTAAGGGCTGATATATAAATCTTCTGCCCGGCCATACGCTGAGCGACTGCAGTTGGCACAGTACTCCTGCCACTAGATAGAGCCGAGAATCATAGAAAACTCCTATGCTCCTCAGCTCCAGCCAGTGGCAGGAATGCCGTGTGAACCACATGTGCCCAGTGTCTAGCTGGGCAGAAGATTTATATATCATCCCCTTAATGAATAATATTATAAGCAGACAGTACTCATCGATACAAAGATTAGAGATTCTAAATGAGGTGTGTTGGCTTTAGAAGGTTTGAAGTGGTCTGATCATTCACATCATATTTAATGTTTACGACAGGTGCTGGCCTGGGACGACTGTACGGAGAGATTATGGCAAAGATCTTCCCCAATGGTTTCATCTCAGAAGGAATCCCCATCAAGATTACTCCGGCAGGCTACGCACTTGCAGGTTACAAAATAACTTGTTTTCTTACAGCTGAACTCCGGCCTTCCCTTCAGTCTTTTATGAGATCCACTCCAAACCAAATTAAAAAAACTGAACTCCAACTGAACTCCGGCCTTCCCTTCAGTCTTTTTTATGAGATCCACCAAATTAAAAGCAGAACTCCGGCCTTTAGACATGTGCACCAGCAAAACATTTGTTTAGTTTAGATTTTGCTTTATTTAGTTTTTCTGAATTCTGGTCCGAAAGTCGATTCGTTTTGGAATTTGGACGAAATCCGTTAACGGTAATCCGTACGAAATTTTGTTTCTTTCGTTCGTTGCAGCAAAGTGACATTTAAGAGGAAAAAAAAGGTTTTTTGTTCTCAAATGTCACTTTGCTGCAACGAAATTTCGTCCAAAAAACGAAAGTTCGCCAAATAAAAACGAATCGGAATTTCGGATTCGTTTGCATTCGTTTATCTGTAATTCGGATACATCCGAATCTCCGAAATTTCGTCCGATTTTCGATTCAGAACTAAACGAATCGCACATGTCTACCGCTTTTCCCTTCAGTCTTTTATGAGATACACTACAAACCAAACTAAAAGCTGAACCCCGGCCTTCCCTTCAGTCTTTTATGAGATACACTACAAACCAAACTAAAAGCTGAACCCCGGGCTTCCCTTCAGTCTTTTGAGATCCACCAAATTAAAATCTGAACTCCGGCCTTCCCTTCAGTCTTTTATGAGATCCACTCCAAACCAAACTAAAGGCTGCACTCCAGCCTTCCCTTCAGTCTTGCAAAGCTGTACAAGTTCCTCTTGACTGAAATTGATGGATGATGCTGGACGTCCACCAGCCAGGAAATGAGGCAGGCTCTATCTGACTTGCTGACTTGACATGTTTTTATTTGCTGCTATAAATCATAAAGTGATGTTCTGCCTCCGCTTCTTGTCCCTTTTTCTTTATGGCGTCCTTTTCTCCTTCCTGCAGGTGCCGCTGCGTATTCCGGAGCTGTCACGCACACCCTCTCTACAGCTTTGCTGGTGTTTGAATTGACGGGACAAATGTCCCACATTCTGCCGGTCCTGATCGCTGTTCTCATAGCCAACGCCATCAGCCAAAGCTGTCAAAACTCCTTCTTTGACCTCATTATCATCATTAAGAAACTGCCGTACCTCCCGAAGCTGGCCATGGGGAAGAACTGGTAATGCACACATCAGTCAGTGATGGGGTTGGTTCTGGGTGAAAGCGGCAGTAAAGCCCGGCTCCAGACATTTTCACAGGTTTACAGCTGTTAATATGCCTTTACCTCGAAGACATAACACCATCACTGGGGATCTATGAGACTGGCAGTGCTCATTCTTCACAGAGGACAGAAGTACAGTAGTAGCTGTACTATTCCTGACTGTTTGATGCAACCCTGAAGAAAGCCTGCATGACGTTACTTTACATCTGAGGTACAGACATATTTAACAGTTATAAACCTGAAAAATGGTCATGCCCAGAACTGGGCTGTAAAGTGGAATTATAGGCAAAATAAAAAATTACATTTTTGTCAGTCAATAGCATTAAAGCCCATCTCAGGGCAATAAAAACCCACCAATGTAGTGGGGCTACCCTCCCAGTGCTAGTTTTTGTCTAGAGGCAGGAGACCTGTCCCTCCGCAGCCTCTTCCCTGGGCTCCGGTGGTTTAAGGACTGCTGCTGTCATTAAGTCTAATGCACGCTCCATAGACCTGAATTAGACGTGAGCACACAGAAGAACAACATTCCAACATTCGGAGTGGAGGGACCTGACTCCTGGAATGGACTACAATCTCATGTTTAGTTTACTAATTTGTATTGAGATTGTAGTCCATCCCAGGAGTGAGCTTGGAGCGGTGACTACTCTACAACACACACAGGGACCATGGGGAACAAAAGTAGCCCCCCTCCAGAAGGAAGGACAGTGTCAGCACCAATTCAGAGATGATTGGAGGATCTACAGCCGAGTGATACACAAATAAGAGACATTGAGGGGAATTTATCAAAACTGGTGCAGACAAAATCTGGAGCAGCTGCGCATGGAAACCAATCAGCATCCACCTCTTATTTTCAAAGCTTAACTGAACAAACTGAAGAGAGAAGCTGATTGGTTGCCATAGGCAAATGCTCCAGATTTTGTCTGCTCCAGTTTTGATAAATCCCCCCATTGTTGTTAATAGTTAAGGGACTTGCAATTATTTTGAAGATTTAACTCCTGAGTTTAGTGTCACAATTATTATCAGAGGTGTGGTTATGATTATCAGAATACAACAATATTCGCTACAGTTGGCCTTTAATTCTATATTTCTTCATTCCTAGTGCCCATGACGTGTGTGCGGAGGACTTCATGGTGACAGACTTAACATATCTGGTGAAAGGCTTTAAGTACAAAGGCATCAGAAACCTGCTGAAGTCCTCTGATCTACAGCAATACCCCATTGTAGATTCTGAAGGTTGGTACCCTCCCCTGCTCTATCTCAGCCCTGTCCTGTCTTATCACTTGCAACACTCGGAGGATATGTAGGAAGACATTGGTGTTCTCTCCTTCTGAATAGCTAGGTGGCTATCACAGTCATCCAATGGCCCAGAACAAGATGGAGTTCAGGAGCTCAGATCTCACTCACTTCTATATACTTGTTTCTGGTCATTTAACCCTGTCGCTGCCAAGGACGTACGTTGTACGGAGCTACAAAAGTGCTTCCAGCTGGCCAGCTCAGTACGTCGTACAGACCTGGCATTTACAGTACTTTACAAACTTTTCCATCTATAAAATGATCTTTGAAAATGTCTCTTTTTGACACGTTTTAGTCCAGTCACGATGAAACATTACAAAAAAACGTGAAATACCCGGGTTTATGTACGGGGGAGGGGAACTTTCACTCAGCAATAATCATTTCCTGTCTATGAGGGATGCACCGATACCGATACTCTTACTCGCCCACATGCTCCGATGCCTAGTCCGATACTTCCGGTATCAGGAAGCCAGCTCCATGCTCCCTCGTCCCCAATCAGGAAGCCAGGCAGCATGTAATGACACGCTGCCTGGCTTCCTGATTGGTCGGAAGCTGGCCAATCAGGAAGCCAGGCGCCGTGTAATGACGCGGCGTCCAGCTTTCTGATTGGTCGGGAAGCCGGCTTCATGCTCCCTCATCACCTCATGATGAGGGAGCATGGAGCCGGCTTCCCGGGCAATCAGGAAGCCAGGCGCTGCGTCATTACACTGCGCCCGGCTTCCTTATTGGCCAGGAGTCCGGCTCCATGCTTTCTCGTCACCCAGTGACGAGAAGCATGGGGTCTTCTTCCCTGCTAATCGGGAAGCCGGGTGGCGAGTCATTACACAATGCCTGGCTTCCTGAATGGGACTTCTGGTACTCCGTATTCAGTATCGGCGAGTAGCGGAAAAAAAATATTGGTACTCTTACTCGATACTGAAATACTGGTATCGGTGCATCCCTACCGTCTATAATACTGTCAATGGGCACACTGAGGTCTGGGGAGTTTTACATCCATAGTTCTAAACATAACGGGAAGAACCCGAATACCGAATAAACTGGGCTAAAGATCAGTCTAGGCACCACACCGTAACACAGCATTCACAATGCATTATGGGATTTCTAAAGAGACGGCTGTTTTTCAGACTCCCTTTCCCTGAATGAACCTCTGTATGGGGCCCTCTAAAAAAAAGAAAAAACACTCCTCTGACCCATCCACAGAGTGCAAATTTAACTTGAGCTATTGGGCACTGTAAACTGGCTTTTTTTTTTTTTGAAACAGAGATGCTGGCGAGAGCCAAGAAAACATATCAAAATAAGCCAGGAGCTCCCTCTGCTGGTTGGAGAAAAGATTGTATAGAGTAATATTCATATACATTTTTTAATATACCAGACTAAAAAAAATACTTTTTTTTACATTTTGCTGTTTATTCCTGTCTATTGTAACACAGAATATATGTACCAAAAACACTCCACAAGCCTGTAATAACATCTTATTTTTTAAGTGAATATAGTCTTTTGCAGCCCGCCGAGATGAAGGTTTTGCTATACCGTAGTTCTGTCTGTGCTGCTGTGTTTCTCTCTCACTCCTCCACAATATACTACTCAACCCTCCCTCTTGTCTTGTCCAGAATGTAAGATCCTCCTCGGCTCAGTCAGCAGAAAAACACTCACAAAGCTCTTGACAGATCAGCTCAGCCCAGAACGCAGAATGCAATACATGATGGAACAAAACGGCACCAACATGGACAACAGCATGACTGTTACAGTAAGTCAACCATTGGGGGCCCCATAGAGGCATGAAGGGTGCAAACTTATAAATGAAAACACAGGAAGGGAGGGGGGTAGCTAGCTCTTGGGCAATGGCAGAGGGTCCGGTGACTTCTACATGTCCAATAACAGCCATGAGTGTGAGAATGTCAATAGTTGATATTTTTGGAAAACCTGACCATTCACTCTGCGCACGGATCACTCACAGCTTTGCAAAGTGAAGGTGTGCCGACACACTCCTTGTTTTCATACAGTGTTCTTGCTGTTGGCAGTCACTTGGCAGGGAACTCATACAAACATAGAAGAGAGACGGCAGAAGAAGGCCAAGACCAAGTGGTCCATCAAGTCTCCCCTTTTTGTTTTTAATTTTGTTTTTTAACCTTTTTTGCCTGAGTATAGATTCATGTTTGTCCCAAGTATGTTTTAATTCACTTACTGTTGAATGACTCAACTTCTCTGCTAGAAGTCAGTTCCGAGCATCAACTACTCTTTTAGGAAAATAGCACATTCTAAGGATGGCTTTGAACGCTCCTGTTGGTGGCAGGTTCATACTGAAAATATGGCCCTTCTGAATTTCATTCCCACCATTCATGTATTTAACCCTTTCACTGCCACCGATGTAAGGCTTACGGTGGAACACAACTCATTCCAGCTGGCCAGCTCAGTAAGCCTTATGTCCGTGGCTTTTACTGTTCTGGTATAAGCTAAAGCGACCATGAACTTATACCAGAACAATTCCGATGGTCCCCTGTAAAATAATAGCTGTCATCATCGGCTAACAATTCCCCCCTACCCCCCGCCGGCACTGATGCTGCCGGCCGTCGCAATCTGCAGCCTCTCCTCTCTTCTGCCTGGAGCCGCTCCAAGCTGAGATCTATTTCTCCTTGGATCCCCGCTGCTCTCCCCTGCATGTATGGCAGCATGGATCCGAGGCGAAATGGCCGGCGGGGGGGCCTTGAAGAGAGGGCGCTGCATGTCAGAAGGAGATCAGAGCCACCGGCTGTCAAATCCAGGATCGCTGGCGGCTTTGTGATCGTGCAAGGTCGAGCGGAGGATAAGTAAATATGTTTGATATTTACTGATCCTCTGTGCAGAGCAAACACTGGAATGATCAGCTAATCACTCAAATGTTTGTAAACAACTGGGGACAGAGTAGTATGTGTCCCCAGTTATGAATAAACAGGAAGTGCTTTACATCACTTCCTGTTCATTCATGATTTTCTCAATGGGTGGAAGCACTCACTATAGAGGCTTCTCCCCATTCATAACTGGATGATTGTAAATGTTCATTCCATTCAGTGCTGAGGCTCAAGAAAAAAAGAGATTGAGTACTCTGTGTCCTCAATTTCTTTTTCTATTTCAAAAAGGAAATGTCAGGGATCTGTGTAGACCCCTGATATTTCCCTGAAGCCCCCCAACAGTAAAAATTAAATATAATAATAATAAAAAATAAATAATAAAAACACCCCCCCAACAACAGTAAAAAAATAAAAATAAAATAACAAAAATAATAAAAAAATAAATAATAAACAAATATAAAAAAAGCAACCCCCCCCAACACAGATTAACTGTGGCAGAGCGCAAAGCAAAGAACATTGCCGTGCGTTGTGATACGCTGTGTTGCGATTAAATGTATGCCTGCATTATTTTAGCCCAGCACAGCGCACAAACTATTTTTAACATAAGTTGCTTATTTCGTTTTGCGTTACTTCATTTTTTTTTTACATTTTGCAAAAAGGCGCAATATAAAATTTACAAATATTTGTTATTGATCTACTCAATACAGTTTTATCTTTTAGATTTAGTCAGAAAAGTTTTTTTTTTGTGCGCGCTGATACTGATTTTAGTGCTTTCATCCATTTGTGTATTTTTATCAGCTTAATATTGACTTGACAAACATTTGCGCAATTATCGCAGGACCTACAAAATTAGTAGCGCCATCTTTTTATTCGCCTGTGCTTCCAGGAAATGTGTGGTTTGGGGGGATCTTTTACCAATGCAGCAATAGAAAATCAAAACGATGGGAAAACGGCAAAAAATGGTCTGGCCAGCTGAGGTTAAAGTGACATTAAACCCTCAGATTTTTTTACATAAAACAACACTGTAATGTGCGCCTTACTGTAATCCATGGTTGTTTCCCTTCTCTTTGATGCTCTTCCTTTTAAATCTGTATCTGTTCTCATGCTTGGAGAGAACTTCCCTTTTCAGCTCAGGGCCTCTTCCTGTAGTGCTGGCTCAGGTTACAGCCTATACACAGGGTGTATAGACAAGGCAGTCTGCTGAAAAGGGAAGTTCTCTCCAAGCATGAGAACAGATACAGATTTAAAAGGAAGAGCAGCAAAGAGAAGGGAAACTACCATGGATTACAGTAAGGCGCACATTACAGTATTGTTTTATGTTAAAAAATCTGAGGGTTTAATGTCACTTTAAAAGCAGTACGCAGGGCTTGGCAGCGAAAGGGTTAAAGGATTCAGTCATGGCTCCCCCCCCCTCCTTCCCCCTCAACCCATGGCATGAACACATAATAATGTAATTGTATAACACCTCCAAAACAGGCCTACTGCCCACATGCACTTTACTGCAATATCAGTATTGATCCCACTGCATCCATGCATTCTTCTTCGTGACATTCGGTAAAAAAATTTGGATACATTCGGATTCTTCATTTTTTCATTCGGAAATTCGGATGCATCACAATGTCAGAATTTCCGAAAATGTGCCCAAATTTCAATTAGTTCAAAGAAATGGCACATGTCTAGGATAGACACATCCAGAATGTGTAGCTGTGTAACAGTTCTATAGAATAAGGTATTTCTTCTTTATTTCAGTCTTTGGGAGAGTATAACACATCCAGACCCCGGCTCACCAGAACAGGTAAGACTTTATATACAATTACAATGATTTAACCTGCGTTGTTATATGGCCGCATGAAGAGAGCACTGCAAACAGGTCTGCCTACTCCTCCCCAACTCCCGGCCTTCTCTGTGGACTACAAATGGTTATCAACGCCTCCACCCTGAGCCAACCCTCTCCTGGAAGGTCACCTTGGTACCTCCCTCTCGCAGCCATTAGCTTACAATGAAGGCACTCCCACTGCAAGACTCATTTTGTTTTTTATCAGCCAAAATGAAAAGTGACTTCCAGGCGTTTGAGGAAATACGTACTGTATTTCTGCCCGGAGTTCTTCTTTAAACACTTGTATGCTTTTTCACCTTAGCAGAAACAGAAGCTACAGAGACCACATACAGCAATCAGGACACTGTCACATTCGAAAGCGAAGAGGTAAGTTATAGAATTTGTCACAAAAATGCTTCCTTAATCATTGTCTATGCTGTTGTGTGCGGCAGGTTTTGCTGATGGCTGCATTTTGGTGCAATGTTCAGCAACTGCACCTCCCACAGGTGAACCACATCAAAAACTAGGGATGCAGCAATACCAGTACCAATATCAGTGCCAAAACTGGGCATTTTCCCTCTTGTGCTTATGCAATTGCCTAGATACTAAGCGCTAATACTGCCACTTTACATTTTTAAATGGAAGCAGGCGCTGTAAACAGGTGCCCCCGTTCACAGGAAGGAAGGCTGCCGCGATCCCAAGCAAGGTTCCAGCCTTCCTGTTTACAGCGCCTGCCGCACAACTCCTCCTCCTGTGGAACCACGCCGCTCGCACCTGCCCCTGAGACTGACCAGGAACCCTGGTGAGATCCTACACAGCCCGCCATAGACCCTGCACAGCCCACCAAGTCCCCGTAAAGCAAACCTTAGCCCCTGCACAGAACACCATAGACCCCCCACAGCCCACCACAGACCCAGTGCAGCCCACCATAGACCCAGCACAGCCCACCACTGACCCAGTGCAGCCCACAATTGACCCTGCACACGCCACCATAGACCCCCTAAAGCCTACCATAGACCCAGTACAGCCCACCATAGATCCAGTACAGCCCACTATAGACCCTGCGCAGCCCACCATACACTCTGCACAGCCCACCATACACTCTGCACAGAACACCATAGACCCCCCACAGCCCACCACAGACCCAGTGCAGCCCACCATAGACCCAGCACAGCCCACCATAGACCCCGCACAGCCCACCACTGACCCTGTACAGCCCACCATATACACTGTACGGTAGGGATATTCAGATACCAAGTACTGATACTTTTCCAGCTCCAAGACTAGACTAGAGACAAACTTAAACGTTAGGAGGCAATTGTCATTTTACAGGAACAATGGCTACGCGGCTCCTGGGATTTGTGCATTCCTGTTTTAATGTATGATTTGTTATATATATATAAGGAATGCACCAATACTATTTTTTAAGACCAAGTACTGATACTTGTCCAAGATACAAGTACTGATACATTTTTGTTTAGTGTCATGTGACAGTTTTTCTAAAACAATGCAGACTAATGATTTCAGGACAGTGGTAGAGCAACCCTGGTAGTTCTCATGAAAATGCCAAGTATCGGTCAACAAGCTGTGTTTACAGTGACTGAAGAAGAGCTACTATAGTAGTGTTAAAGGAGAACTATGAGGGGGGGTGATTTCCACTCACCTCATAGTTCTAGCCGACCTGTGGCAATGAGACTGTCACAGGTCGGCTCAGTATCTCGGGAAGTGAGCGAACACATACCAGGTTCGCTCACCTCTCGATCCTGTCACGGCTCTCTGCCGTGACAGGGGAGGGGCTGGATTCCCCCCTCCCCTCTCCGATCCGCCAGCTCTGACTGGCGGAACGGACGGGGGAGGGGGCGGGTACAGCTGGCTCTGCCTCTAGATAGGCAGAGCCAGCTGTCACTCACGCAGCTGGGCGGATCTCGACGTCCATGTCGGAATCCGCTCCGGCTGCGGCGTCTCAGTATACCGCGAGCTGCAGCTCCCTATATACTGAGCTTAGGGTGACGGGATGACGCTAGTTTGTGTCCTCTCGTTACCCTAAGGAGAACTATGGGGAAAAGCCCTAACCCCATAGTTCTCCTTTAAGAAGCCAAGACTGACCAAACATGACTGTCATAGGCCTAATTGCCTTTGGGGGCTAAATACTGTTTGGGCTTTGGCTTCAGATAGTAAACTATAAAATATCTTATATTATCTTCTTGTTGCAGACATCAAAGCCAAGGAGTGAAAGCCGCAGGAGACGCTCAAGCAAATTCCGCAACCAATACCAAAAACTAGTAAGTGCATAATACAATAAACCTAAAAACAATCCACACGCTTGCTGTAAACACATAACGTGGTTTACTCGGGTGATGCATAATACTAAAACCATTCTCAGTGATCATACTGGACGAAGGTCTGTGTGGTAGGAGGTAAAATCCAACAAGTGTGGGGATACACCAACTTTCTGTAGTGGTGAGACCTTTATAACGTAGGTGACTCTCTCTTTAGCTCCTTTACAGGAGTTGGGAATGTAAATTGGAGGTAGTCTGTTATCCCTATTCTGCTTGAGATCTGTAGGGGTCACCCACCACATACATCGTACTATTTCCAAAGGCCTTTTTGGCATCGGAGCTCCATTTACAGCCCCTACTTTCTTTCTCAGGGCCCAGACCATAAACCTTCCCTGCAAAATTCACATATGATGCTTAAATGACGTGATAATGCAGAATTGTGCACCACTTGACTTGCTTGCTTCATCAGCGAGTGTCACCCGACACAAATTCACTGCAAGAAGTAGGTGGACAAGTACCACTGTCTCTTATTCCTGCTTCTTGTTTAACATGTGTACACTGTTATGGTACTTGGGGAGTCCTGCTGGGATTTACAGAACCTCTCAGAGAATCCCAGCCAGGACTTCCAGAAAACAAGCCAGTACCTCTAATGGTACCGAGAAGAGTCCTGCCAGTACCTCTAAATGTAGCCACAAAATCTGTCCCAGAACACCCCGAAATTATGGTGGGCGTGTCTCTGCTGATTTCAGAGGGGTATTTAAGACCAGCTATGGAAGTGGCTGGTGCTATGTCTTCAAACCACCTATGCCAACGCTTTGATTGCCACCTGCACTGCTGACCTCTACATGGACCTGATTACACTCTCATCTCCCGCCTTGTGTGATGTTGTTTCTGATTTGCTGACCAAGACTGCCTGACCATTCTGATTATCGCCTCTCTGGATCCCAGCCTTATTCTGACCCTACTCTGGTTTACCCTCTCGGTGCAGCCTTCCTGTCCTCGACCCTCCCTTGGCAGGGCAATCCTGAGGGCCGTGACCTGGTACCAGCAAGCAGCGAAACCCATCTCTATCATCGGGAGCTCTGGGGAAAACCGGCTGGTGCTTAGACTCTACACCTCGGGGTGTCGCCCTAACACTATCCAAAACCTGAACAAAAGGTTTTGGCTTAGATGCACTTTAAGATTCACTCACAACTATATACTACAGTATCCCACTTAAAGTACAACTGCACTCTGCAGGACCGGTGAAAGCCACCATGAGTTTATTTATTAGGAATGCATAGGACTGAGGTGCCCTTTTGCAGGCTATAGAAGTTTTGGAAAGAAAGGCTGTGCAGTTCCCAATGGGGCCACACAGTGATGATTGCCTAATTGAGGATGGAGATGAGTATAAGACAAGGTGGGCTGCATTTAGCCGTTGGGGATGTGGGGTTTAACCCTAAAGCATTATTTGTACCACAGGTGCGGTTGTCCTTTAAACTATTATGCAGTTTATGTCCGGTATGCCAGCAAACCTGATTGTAAGTATTGCTGACCTAACAGATTCAATCTTGTTATCTTAACTGAACATTGTTTTACAGGTGGAGGAATGGGAATGCCGTCAGCTCAATGAGGTGGTGCCGGTAGAGGACCTGCTTATTGATCCAGCTCCATACAGACTTGTCGAGAAGCAGACTCTTTACCAGGTAAGGATGACCCTATGATGAGTTGGGAACTCTTCCATACAGGATCCTTCTCTTTAGGGTTAATTTTAGGACGTTTCTTTCCCACGATACTTCCATCCCCTTCAGCCAGAGTATATGGTGTCAAGCCATGGAGGAGCGGGAGAGTGTTAACAATGAAACATTATACTTCGGGGAGGACTGGGCTGGGGAAGTCAGTGACACATGGTTGGGATGATATCACTACCACATTCAAACCTGTGATCACAGAGCCTGACGGGGGAATTTTTCCAGAACCAACCTCCTTTTCAGCACTGAGACATCATGCGAGAGGTGCAAAGAAGGCTAATGTGGTTTCACATGTTGTGTCAAGCCATGTCCTTTAGGAGGTCCCATCTTTTAGCATGCCCACCAATCACTGTGGCATAATTGGCACATTAAATGACATAGTACACTTTATTTAGCCGCTGGTTTATGTTGAGCGCCATAGGCCAAAAATTGCCAGTCCTCTCCTGGTTATAACCCGAAATAATGACAAAGCAAGACGCTTTCATGTTCAGTAACACATTCTAATGTCCATTTTCTCTCCACTCTCTCTAGGTTTATGACTTGTTCAATCTCCTAAGCCTTCGCAGGGCCTATGTCACCAGTATAGGACGGCTGGTGGGAGTCATCTCCCTGACGGAGGTATGACGTCATAATT